AATCATTACCTATCGAGCTAAATGGTTTCGACATCGTGCTGGGAATGGATTGGCTTAGCACCACTAACGCCGAGATATTATGCAGGAAGAAGATAGTAAAAGTAAACCTACCAGGGAAAGAGTCATTTATGGTGTACGGGGACAAACGCAGAGTAAATTCTTGGATTATTTCTCTAATGAAAGCCAAAAGGTGTTTGGCCAAGGATGTACATCATATCTAGCATTCCTGATTGATGCAAAGAAGGAGAAAAAAGAGGTGCAGAGTATATCACTGGTGAATGAGTATCCAGAAGTATTTCTCGAAGATCTTCCCGGATTACCGCCTGATAGACAAGTGGAGTTCAGAATATACTTGTTACCAGGAACGACGCCAATAGCAAAAGCACCTTACCGATTAGCACCAACATAGATGAAGGAGCTGATGATGCAACTTCAGGAGTTATTGGACAAAAGTTTCATTAAACCTAGTTCATCACCCTGGGATCTCCGGTGTTATTCGTGAAGAAAAAGGACGGGAGCATGAGAATGTGCATTGATTACAAAGAGCTGAATAAGGCAACGATAAAGAATAGATATCCATTGCCAAGGATTGATGACCTGTTCGATCAGCTTCAAGGTTCAAGCTATTTTTCAAAGATCGACCTGAGGTCAGGATATCATTAGCTAAAGGTGAGAGAGCAGGATATCGAGAAGACTGCATTCAGAACACGATATGGACACTACGAGTTTTTGGTTATGTCATTTAGACTAACCAATGCTCCAACAGAATTCATGGATTTGATGAATAGGGTTTGTAAACCGTTCCTTGATAAATCTGTGATAGTGTTCATATATGACATTCTGCTTTACTTGAAAAGCCAAGAAGAGCATGACAGACACTTGCGAGAAGTGTTAGAAGTCTTGAAGAAGGCGAAGCTATATGCAAAGTTCTCCAAATGTGATTTTTGGATTCAAGAAGTCCAATTCTTGGGTCACGTGGTCAACCAAGAAGTGATAATGGTTGATCAAGCAAATATTGAAGATGTGATAAAGTGGGAACAACCGAAAAGTCCCACGGAGATCCGAAACTTTCTGGGATTAGTTGGATATTACCGAAGGTTTATCCAAGGCTTTTCTTCAATCGCTACTCCATTAACAGCTTTAACCCACAAGGGAGCTACTTATGCTTGGAGTGATAAGCACAAAGAAGCATTCAAGTTGCTAAAGAAGAAGCTATGTGAGGCACTGATTCTTTCTCTACCCGATGAGTTAAAGACTTCATTGTTTATAGCGATGCCTCTGGTGTTGGATTAGGTTGTGTTTTGACCCAAAGAGAAAAGGTGATCGCGTATGCATCTCGACAATTGAAAGAGAATGAAAAGAACTATCCCACTCATGATCTGGAGTTGACAGTGGTAGTTTTTGCTCTAAAGATATGGAGGCATTACCTTTATGGCATGAAGTGCAAACTTTTCACTGATCATAAGAGTCTTCAATATCTCTTTAGTCAGAAAGAATTAAATATGAGGCAACGACGCTAGCTAGAGTTACTTAAGGACTACGACTGTGAGATACTTTACTACCCCGATAAAGCTAATGTTGTTGCTGATGCTCTCAGTCGGAAAGTCAATCTTGAAAGAAAGAGGCCAAGAGCGTTGAGAATAGAAGTTGTCTCGACAATTATGGAGAGTATAAAGAAAGCTCAAGAAGAAGCTTCAGAGAAGAATGACCGAAAGGAGGAACATTTGGGCAAAATGTTAGTGTTCGATACAAACAGTCATGGACTGAAGGTATTCCAATATCGAATTTGGGTACCTAAGACAGGAGGAGTAAGAGATCTTCTGATGGAAGAAGCTCACAAAACATGTACTCGATTCATCCTGACAGCAAAAAAATATATAGGGACCTGAAACCCTATTACTGGTGGCCGACAATGAAGCTTGATATTGCAAAGTATGTGGCCGAGTGTGTGACATGTGCTAGAGTTAAGGCACAACATCAAAAACCATATGGGAGTTTAGAACCTTTTTCTGTACCTATGGGTAAATGGGAAGACATTGATATGGATTTTGTCACTAAACTGCCCAAAATAAAGAATGGACATGACATGATTTGGGTGGTCATTGATCGCTTCACTAAGAGTGTGCATTTCATAGCAGCCAATGAGAAATGGTCTATGTATAAGCTTGTGAATTCATACATGAAGGAAATTGTAAGGCTTTACGGTGTTCCATTAATGATTGTATCTGATCGTGATGGCCGTTTCACTTCAAGGTTTTGGAGAAGTCTACAAGAGGAATTGGGTACCAAGTTATGTTTAAGTATAGCTTACCATCCACAGACTGATGGTCAGAGCGAGCGAACGATACAAATGCTCGAAGATATGTTGAGAGCATGTACCCTGGAATTCCAATGTAACATGGATGAACATTTACCTTTGGTAGAATTTTCCTACAATAATAGTTTCCACTCGAGCATAAAGATGACACATTATCAAGCTTTGTACGGACATAAGTGTCGTACGCTGTCTTGTTGGCTTGAGGCTGGGGAAAAGCAGTTTATGAGACCCAAGACAATCCATCAGACTGCTGAAAAGCTGAAAATAATTAGGGAGAGAATGTTAGCGGCTCAAGATCGTCAAAAGAGCTATGCTGAGAAAAAGCGAAGACCGATGGCATTTGAAGTTAGGGATTCGGTTTTGCTTAAAGTCTCACCGTGGAAGAGACTTATAAGATTTGGTAAAAGGGGAAAGTTAAGTCCAAGATTTATTGGACTGTTTAAAGTTCTTCAGAGGATTAGGAACCAAGCTTACAAGCTAGAGTTACCAGAAGAACTTAATGGTATTCATAACATTTTCCATGTGTGTTATTTGAGGAAGTTCACGGGAGAAGTTCCCAACATAATTCCAATTTCTGAGTTAAGGATCGATGAAAAGAAGAGGTTGATTGAAGAACCAGAGGCAATTGTTGACCGAAATAATAAGAAGTTGCGACGCAAGATGGTCGAATTAGTACTTGTCCGTTGGAAACATACGAATAGGCCAAATCTCACCTAGGAAATGGAGAGTGACATGATGAGTCGCTATCAACATTTGTTTGTTGATGTGTGATTCCGAGGATGGAATCATCCCAAGGAGGAGAGAATTGTAACGCTCGTATTTCTAGGTTAGGCATTAATGTTGAAGTAATAGTCTAGGTTAACCTTTGTAACTCGTTTTGAAATAATAGAAATGTATTATTTGAGTATCATGTGTTTCATGCTTAATTATTGTGACTTTATTGAATTAAGGATAAAATAAGCGTTAAAATAAAATGTTAGATAAAACCGATATTGATACACAAAGACACAGTGGTCGTGACAAGGATTCCGAATATATAAAGAACGCTGAAATCCGAGTTATAATGAAGAAGTTATAATCTGTCGAAATTTCGCGACAGAACCGGTACGACACTACGTGACGTAAATAGTGAATTTACAATAGAGCGATATTTAGCCTTAGCGATCTCAAGGAAAGCCGTAGAATACGTTAAACCGAGACCGTGCATGAAAAGAACGTCCAAATCTGACTTCGTATGAGGAAATTATGATTTTTTGAAGTTTCAACTTAGCAGTATGCGACCCAAAGTTCGAATATGAGATCGAGTGATTTCTAGCCAAAACAATCTAAACGAGAATCGAAGATCTCATCGATAGTAATGCAACGGTGAAAAGACAGAGGAAAACGGACGTCAGATGAAGAAGTTATGAATTCATAACAGAGTTTTCCTATCCCGACCTATTAAAAATAATATAATAAAAATAAAGTCAAAATTAGCCGACGAAGTCTAAAAGAAAGTTGTAGAGCATAATCTCACTTACACGTGGATATAAAGAGCATCAAAAATGAAGCTCGTATGCGAAAATTATTAAACTCTGATCAAATGCAAAAAGAGCAATGTACTTTTCATGAACTTGTGCGTAAAAATGTTAAGTATGTTGATTTTATTTGTAAAATAAGTTAAAAATGTTATTCCTGCAATTTACCCTATGTTTTTGTTAATCTTATATCATGTAATTTAATATATAAAGATCTATTTTTATATTCTTATTCAAGTTTTAACTCGTACATTAGGAGCCATTTCCATGGAATGTTGTTTTTTTAACTCGTCTATGTCTAAAGGTTATGACAATAAATAAAAATAACTTTTTCCCTTTTATTTGCATTTATGAAAATCTTACATAATACAAACATAAAGAGTTGCAAGAAGGTTATCATAACTTAGATTTGTAATTTATAATAATTTGATACATGGCAAAATGCGATGAATAACAACACACATTTAGTAAATCTTAGTAGTTTTTTATTCTACACTAGTTTATAACCCGTGGAAATCACAGTTATAAAATTAATTAAACTTTAATAGTTAAAATTTAAAATTATTAATAACTTATTTTAAATAAATTATTAATTAAGAGGTTTTTTAGTTATATAAAATTATAATCATTGATTTAAATAAATATCTAAAATTATATCACCTTATAATTTGTATTAATTTTATTTTAATTTTTATTCTAATGTTGTTAATTTAATGTAATTAGAATGATAAAATTTAAAATTTGAAATTTGAAATGAAGAATCAATATGTTGATAAATGGTATGCATTAATTATAAGACATAATATGATGAAACATGGTAAAATAAAATAAAATTTGCATTAATTATAAGACTTAATATGGTGACACATATTAAAAAGAAATTACAAATTACTTTTTTATTAAAATAGGAAAATGTGTTACAGATTAGAGATAATGTTTATCTTTGGGTCTTTTTTTCAGTGGTATTATAGAAACCATGGATATTTTAAAAAATCAATTTATAAATTTTAACCTAAACGTAAAAGTGAGAATTTTTACTTCATAATACAAAAGAAAAAAAAAAAAAAAAAATCAGATTTTGAAGTATTAACCTAAATGATGGCTCTTGGTTATGCTTCAATGTTCTAAATTTTATTAACAATATTCTTTTTTGTGTATAATAATTATAAACATACATGATAGTTTTCACGAGTTTATCGGTTATAAACTAGTGTTTGGGTAAATTCAGTAATTTAGGGCTTTTATTTCATTTTCCCTTTTCAATAAACCATTAAACCGGTTACCAGTAAAGCCTATCAGCTGCGCCTCCTTCTCTTTCTGTTCACCGCCGTAGACATTCCAGTTAATCGCCGCCCGTTCTCCGATTTGAGATCTTTGATTAATTTTACCAGGTGAGGCTCGATTTTGCATTTACTTTTGTTTTATAGGCTCATGAATCGATTTGAGTGTTTAGCGCACTTGTTTCTCCTGGCCACACCATCTTATATTTAGTTTTCTGCAATTTGTACATGTCATGAATCGATTGCTTTTGTTTTCTAAATCTTGAGATCAATGGTTTGTGTATACGTGAATTACTGATATGTATTTACCGTGAGCAATTTTATGTGTCCAGTCTTTTGTTGTTAGGAGTTAGGACACCACCTGAAATTCTAATATCAAAAAGTTAAGTGTGACATGCAGATATTGTGGCCTTAGGTACATAATAAGCAAATACCAAATGGTTTGTAAAGTAGTGATGAGAAGATGTTGGTGCTTAAATCAGATGTGATGGCTTTCATCGGAAGGTCAAAAAAGGGTCTGAAGTGAAATTTGATTTGCAAATTACTAAATATACAGCATAGGTGAGGAATGACGGGAGTAGATGCATAGCTGTTTTTCCTTATTCTTTCAACAGAAAAAAGGATTGTAGCATTAAAAAATGATCATTTACAAGTCAATGTTTCTGATCTGTTTAGATGTCCTATGTGCATGTATGTATGTTAAATTGGATGTTGATAGTTGTTAGATGTATATTATGCAAGTTGTAGCTTCCTAAAATGAATATTGTTGATTTTTGGCATGGCAGATGTCACAGCGAGGTGTTTGGCAGCTTCAGAAGTTGACAGTGAGCTACTGTAATTGGGGTGGAAGTAGCAGGGGGATTAGGTATGTAGTCTGTTTTTCCGATAATGAATTAATGTACATTTGGGTTATAGATTATGATTGTGTTTGTTTGGCGTGTAGGGCATTTATGGAGTCGCAGTTGGCAGCATTTAAAGAAAGCAATCCTCAGCTAGAGGTGGTTACGGAGCTTAACCGTGGTCAACATCCATTTCTGAAGGGAGCATACAGTAAGATGAGCTTCTTACTCTGTTAGATCAGATATGATTTAAATAATGAAATATGAATGAACGGATATGAAGATGATTAAATGATATTATTTGGTTAGAGAACAAGAATGAGCGGGTTGTATCTGTGATGAACATGAGTCCAGAAGACGTGCTGCTTTGTGCAACCAGGCTTAGGAATTCACTTGGAAGAAAGGTGGTGAAGCTCAAGACCAGACATGTCACCAAACACCCCAGTGTACAAGGAACCTGGACAACAGACTTGCAGATCTGATCTGCTGCTGCTACATTTCTTTTTATAAAACTACATGTATTATCAACTCTCAATTTGGCATCATTAACATTTAACAAAAACTTACCAGCTTCTCAACTCTATCATTCATGCCTATAAAGCAGACACTATTTGTTTCTCAGAGACAGTTTTGGGTAAGGATGATGCATGTTTTTTTTTTTTACTCAAATGCTATAAATTCACCTCTAACTGTCTGCTCTACAATACAACTACAGGTGCACAAAGCAAGACCAAACCATTGGTTTTCTTTTCCCCTTTTTACTAAAAAACCCGAAACCAACCGGGTTTTTAAACTTCCAAAAACCAATATTTATGCACCTCTAAGGGCGTGTTTCTAACTCCTTATTGGCATTTTGGAAAAGCCAAAAATTTACGGCTTAGCTTTTTGGAGAAGCCATTTTTTTAACTAAACACAATTAGTCGAATACCTTATTGACTTTTTGAACTCTCAAACACCCACTAAATACAATTAGTGTTGATCCTTGTAGTTGTGAATTAATTCGTATGTGAAATGGCCCAACCCAAGGCCTGGTGACATAGGTCCTCTGAAAAACCCAACTAGGAGAAACTTAACCTTGCTTTATTGAAGCACTCTACTATTGGAATTACAATTCTTGTAAATCCCAACTAATCTAAAATGATTGATGATATTAAAATCATCATATTTATTTGTCAAAGCCATGATGTCCCTTTTCACAGTCACAGGTATTGGAAATTAAGTTGTTATTTGAGGACCTCCTTCTCTCCCGTTGTTTTTAGATTCAAAAAGGTGTTCTGATTCTGATTTTGATCCCTACGTGTATCCTGTCTGAAACAGCAGACACAAATACACTTGTATAATAGTCGTTCATCTATTTTTTTTTTCAAAAAAACAAAAAACAAAACAAAACAATTGAATAATCTTTTTCCGTACCCTTAATCTTTCTTTCTCCTATTCTTCAAGACCCACCGGAACATTTGTGTGCAAAAACTATAAAGTATAGAGAAATTATTATCGATTGAAGAAGTGATAACAACCAGTTCTGATCAAAACCATTATATTATGAAGTAGCAGGCAGCTCTAATCACTATGTTCCCCTGCCAATAATAATAATAATAATAATAATAACATTACAGAAAAGGCATCATGGGGCCTTTTGGAAAAAACAATATCTTGTACGGGTAATACAATACCTTCAAGGTTATAAGCGTGAATCATCATTTACTTTGTTTTAAAAGGGAAAAGGGAGATGATTAGATCCTTGTTGTTAATGCATGCATGATCTACAATTTGATCCACCATCATTAATTTAAGTGATCGGACAGACAACAACATCATTATACAAAAAGTGGGAGCTCTCTCTAGATTATTACTACATGGTGCGAGTATGTGTGGGTCTTAATACAATTTTTTATGCTCACGCTCCTTGTTGACTTTTTCCACTGACGATGTTGACTATGTTGTTTGGTTGAGGGAGGAGGTGTAAGGGATAACATCTAATCAGAACAGTGTGGTGAATACAGTTGTGGTATTCTTCGCTACTGTCAAAGCTTGTGGGGTTGCTGATCAGCGAAGTAGGGTTTTGATTTTCTTGGGTCAGTACATTTGTGAAAGACATTTGGGTCAGTATATTCGTGAAAGACATAATCTGATACGACGGTGGCTGCTATTAAACTAAGTGAGAATAACTTGGAATGGGAATGGAAGTTCGTAAAATCAAAGAACCAACCAAATGCCAAAAGGGAACATAACGATGTTTTGCCCGAGGAACTTGGTAACACGGTAAACCTTAATTTTCATGATTCGGAGGTCTTGTCTCTCCTTGGATTTGAAAGCCTTGTGGAAAGAATGTGAGAAATTTTTTACAATATCGGATGTTTATATTGCAAGCAAATTGTCTATGATTGGTAAAAGATTTGTGTTTCTCATATTTTTACGTGTGGTTGATACGCACAATCTTGAAAAGAACATTCATCCATGTGGACCGGAAACCATCATATTTTTGCTTCTTCGGCAAGGATTACTTGTGGGAAGAATGTTGTGAGGACTAAACCTACTGATCGTAAGTGAGAAGATTGGTTACACAGAAAGAGCAAGTCACATTCATATTCACATAAATGTGAAGTATATAGGAAGAAGAATAGTCTATGATTTCTTTTTGAAAAAGAACCAACTTTCTTTGAATTTGAAGTAATTAGACTATCCTAATTATGACACTCATATATAAAGGGTTCTCCATGGAGGAACCAAATGACAATTTATTCCTACAAAACATTTAAGAACAAGACGATTGAATTGGAAATATCGACAAATTTTTGCGGAGTCCAAAGGAATGGAAATAAATAAAAGGTCAACTTGTTCAAATTTCATATCTATTGAATATGAATATCAGAATAACATATATAATAATGATTCAATGGGTCAGGTCACATTAAATGGAAATGAGAGGGTGGATGAAAAACAAATGTACGGAAATGTGGTTACCGGAAAAGTAAACTGGATGGATGGTGGGACTAAGGAAGAAGTAATGAAAAGGGTATCTTTGGAATCTCCATAGTTGTTGAAAGTTCCAAATGCTTCATGGGGGGTTTGATGTAAGGATTATTGCTAATCTTTACAAGTTGTGTTTGAAAGAAGGATTTCAAGACGTGAAGATAAACTATATTGGCAGATTGTGGGTATGGTTAGAATTTCAAACAAGAAGTACATGCACAAGTTTTAATGTAAATGAGGGATGGATTCGGCATAGTAGTGTACAACTAAAAAATCGAATTTTAGATCGATTGATTTTTAGCTGAGACAATCTAAACGAGAAATGAAGATCTTGTTAATAAGAGTTTGACGATAGAAAGACTATAAAAACAGACTCTCGATGAGATAATTACTCATTTTATATGGGTTTTAACAGTCTAAGCCTGTATGAAAAAGATGAAGTTAAAATTAGCCGATGGAGTCCAAACGAAAGTTGCAGATCTCGTTGAGAGCTTTTCGTGATATAAAGAACGTCAAAGACGGAACTCATATGAAGAAGTTATGCATTTTTTAAAATTGAAAATCGACACGCGCGCGTCACGCATAGTTTGCGCCTGAAGCTAGCCACACTGCCCCACCCCTTTGCAGACATGTGTCAGCCATCCAGAGGTGCCACCTTACCCATGTGCGTGGTGCGTACATGGCCTTGCACGACGTATGTAACGCCCTGTTTGAAATTACTTGGTTGGGGTCCCGGAAACCAAAGGGTAGGGGCGATTCGGTCTTTTATGGGTCCCAGCTTTTATCCGAAAGGTTTTAGGCTTGGAGGTGTCGAGGGGAGCGTAGGGCTTCTCGCCACCTTTTCGTGGATATAAAATTCATCGGAAACGGACTTAGAATAAAGGAGTTATGACACTTTGTATTTATTGTCGGTTTAAGCCCCTAATGGAAATTAGTGACAAGAGGATCCCATGCGTGCAAGGTGGCCAGCACAAGAGGACGCCCAACGTAGGTGGAGTAAATGGTCGCGGGTGAGTGGAGACGTACGCACAGCGTACAAGGAGTACACCCAATGTACGCCCAAAGTCACTTAACCCTAATTTTTAGAGTGTGACACTATATAAAGAACATTACACCCTCTAGGGTCACCCTCCTTCTCATCCTTAAACCCTCTTTGAAACCCTAACCCTAATAGTGAGAGTGTGAGCTTGTATGGCCATCTTGGAGTGCATTTTGGTGTTCTTGAAGAGGTGTGATCATCTTGGAGCTCCATTGATCAGGAAAGAGCTTTTGGATCCAGGTTCTCTAGCTCATTTGCAAGTCTTAAAAGGTATAAAGTTTCTACCTTGTTATCTTATAGCTTGAGATCTAAATTAGGGCTTGTTTGGTGTTTCTTATGAGCTTTTGGACTACCTCTTGGGAGTTGATCAACTCCAGAGCTTAGGAAGAGTAGATCTAAGGTCCTTTGGTCCATCTACTTCATAAAAATGCAATCTTGATGAGTGTTCTAACCTCATGCATGGATCAAGACCCTTGGAAAGGTCTTAATGGGTTGTTGGGAGCATATGGAGCATGCAAAGGCATAAAGTTTCCAACTTTATGCCTTAATACGTCTTAATGGACCTATATATGAAGTTTGATGTTGAAATCCCGAGTATTGAACACTTGATGGGAAAGTAGCTTAATAGAGGAGTACGTTGGGCGTACATAGAGGTACACGCAGCGTACACCACTTTTAGTTAGGACATTTAGCGTCCATAGGAGTACGCCCCGCGTACTCATCAGTTTTGGGCTTGTAGTGTTTTGGGCCTCGGGTTGGGCCAAGCAGCGGACTTTGGGTCTTTAGGCTTCAGTCGGCCACCAGGAGTCAGATGTTTTGGGCCAAGAAGATGTTTGGGCTTAGGGTAAGGCCCATTAGAAAGATTAGGCCCAATTAAGTGAGTTGGGCCATTAGTGGGCCACTAGTGGGCTTGGAAAGCCTACCCTAGTGTTGGATTTTGTTTTGAGGATTGGGCCTTAGTTTTGGATCATACTGGGCCAGGGGTAAAAATGGTCATTTTACCCCCATGCATGGATTAATGATTATGGTATAGGACCCAGTTGCTATCGGGTATATTGATTAGTGTTGATGGTTCAGGAAGTGGATGGGGCGTCAGCTAATGACTTCTTCAGGAAGCTTCTGCATTCGAGGTGAGTTTTCTCACCATATCAATGGGTCTAAGGCACTAAGGTCGGCCCATTTTACGATAGTTGGTATACTTGCTGTGTAGAGGTGTGTGGCATTGTTATGCATTGATATGTGGTAGAGATAGCCTTTAGGGCTGATGGTAGAGATAGCCTTCAGGGCTAGTGGTAGTGATAACCCTCAGGTCTAATGGTAGAGATAGCCTATATGGCTAAGGGTAGAGATAGCCTTTGTGGCAAATGGTAGAGATAGCTTTATAGCTAATTTATATGTGTTACGTGGTAGAGGTAGCTTTTATAGCTAGCATGTTATGTGGTTTGTGTGTGGGGTATGCTCTGGGGAACTCACTAAGCTTTGTGCTTACAGGTTTGTTTATTGTTTCAGGTACTTCAGACCCCAATGGCATGGGCAAGGCGTGATGGCACAATGTGCACTCTCTCACAGACATTTTTGGGACACTCTGATGTTTGGAATAAAAGCTGTATTTGACTTATGTTTTGAAAACAATTATGTATGGATTTCTTAATGTATGACATTATGTTTGCTTATTTTAAAATGAAAATTTTACTTTGATAATTGGGTCGTTACAACGTACATATGGTTTTCTCCCCTATAAATAAAGTCCTATGTATAAGCTTCATCCTCGACACCCCTACAGCCCATCCTCTCGAGTTCTACCCTGTTCTAGCCTATTTTCCTTCGTTTCTAGTCTGTGACATAGTCTTACGAAACCCTGAGTAGTCATCTGAATAGTATCCTTCGAGTAGGAGATCCTAAGTCGGTATTTTGTCTACTTAGATCCCGGTTCTCATCAGTAGAAGTCTATAGGTAATCTACGCTTACTCTGTCCTAAGTGTAATTATATTTATGTTTATAGTCATTGTTATATATGTGTGTGTGTGTATATATATATGTATATATATATATATATATATATATATATATATATATATATATATATATATATAGAGAGAGAGAGAGAGATTTATCAGTCAAGGTGAGTTCTTCTCACTATATTGTATACTCCAGTATGTAACCTTTGTATGTTAAGATATAGCTACCCTGTAGTGTGCACTTAGGCAATTAGAGTAGGTGAATTATTTTCCTGTTATGTGGACTATCGTTATATGTGTATGTTAATATATATGGAGTTGAGGGTGGAACAACCTTGAGCTGAAGGCCAATAGACTCGGGCGGACTAGCTTTATGCTAAAGGCCAAGGTGCGGTCCAACTATATATTGTAGGAAAAGATAGGGCGGACCAACTATATGTTGAAGAACATTATGTGTATGC